CATGTCACAACCGAACCTCATAACCTCCAACCATATCACGGCAACGAGGATGTCTCCATGGGTGATGGTAACAAAATTCCCATCTCACATATTGGTTCTACTCAGTTAAATGCATCAAATAATGTTTTTAAGCTAACTCACACTCTATGTGCTCCAGCTATCAAACGAAATCTTATTTCTGTTTCTAAATTTTGTCAGGACAATCTAACATCTCTTGAATTCTTTCCTTTTTCTTTTCTTGTGAAGGATCTGAAAACGCGAACCCCGCTGGCACGAGGCCGGATCGGAAATGGACTGTATGAGTGGCCCAAATCACATCCACAAGCTCACATATCTACCATTTCAACTTCCCTGACCACTTGGCACCAAAGATTGGGTCGCCCGCATTCTAGAGTTCTTGCATATGTCTTGAATAAATTCTCGCTCCCATTTGTTGAGCGAGACAAGTTTCTTTATTGTAATTCTTGTTTGTCTAATAAAGCCCATCGGCATCCATTTCACACATTAACTCTGGAAAGCTCTAAACCTCTTCAAATTATTTTCAGTGATTTATGGGGACCCTCTCCTGTGTTATCTGTTCATAAAAAATTATATTGCTGTATTTTTGTTGATCAATACACAAGATACACTTGGCTCTACACACTTAAAAATAAATCTGAAGTCAGAGACATTTTTCAAAAATTTCATCCTTTGATAGAAAAACATTTCGATACCAAAATTCTATCGCTTTATACTGATGGTGGAGGAGAGTATAAAAGTCTTGACCCTTATCTCTCGCTTCACGGTATCGAACACCTTTCCACTCCACCCTATACACCTCAAAAAGTTGCTCTTGCTGAGCGGCAGGCATCGTCACATTATTGAAACTGCACGAACACTCTTACATGAGGCGTCTCTGCCATCACTTTTTTGGTCCTTTGCCTGTCACCATGCGGTCTATCTCATTAACCGACTCCCTACCACACTTTTAAATAATATTTCTCCTTTTGAAAAATTATTTGGTAAAACACCTGATTATGCTTCTCTAAGAATTTTTGGGTGTTTATGTTATCCATGGCTTAAACCATACTCTAAAAATAAACTTGAACCAAAATCCACCCCATGTGTTTATCTCGGTTTTTCATTGTCCCATCACTGCCACCAATGCTTTGATCCAATCTCATCAAAAATTTATTTATCCCGTGATGTGCATTTTGTTGAAAATAACTTTCCTTTCAAAACTTTGTTCTCTAATATTACAATTCAAAAAAGGCACCTGGAATGGACAACTAGTGCATTTTCTAATATACCCAATCTCACCCCTAATGTTTCTAATAATTTAGACCTGCTACCCCCCCCCCCTCCCCCCCACATTGAAATATCAGCTCCAGTAGCAGAACCCCAAACCCAAACGACATCTCCCTCTCCAAACCAAAGTGACCCACCACTACCATCCTCCATTTCCGGCGTGCCAGTGGCAAAAGCAAATTCGGACTCTTCCAAGACTTCAACTCCAGGTAATCCTCTCTCCCCTTCTTCTTCTATAATTCCCCTTGCCCAGGAGTCTCTTTGCCCATGTCCATCTTCTCCGATTCCTTCGACCACTGTCCGTCAACTCGCAAACCCCAACACACCTATAAATTCACCATCTTCTACATCTAAACCTTCACAAATCTCTCCCCCACTTCAAGTGTATCACCGCAGAACACCCCAATCCAAATCTATGGCCCCTCATCCTACTGTCTCTATTGGACTCAGCGGCAACCAAGAGGCCCCACCAGGCGAACCCACACTTTCCCGCTGCCCTTCCCCTCCCAATCGTATTATCACACGTTCCCAAAATAACATTCAAAAACCAAAGCAAATTTTTGACTACCTTGCTCATTTAGAAACCTCACTTGTACCACATACCTTCAAACAAGCCGAGAAACATCCTGAGTGGAGAAAAGCTATGAAATCAAAATTTGATGCTTTGCCGAATAACCATACCTGGGAACTAGTTCCAAATGATCCTTCTAAAAATGTTGTTTCATGTAAGTGGCTTTTCAGGATTAAGAGGAAAGCAGATGGTTCGGTTGATCGCTACAAAGCGAGACTAGTTGCAAAGGGATTTACTCAGAGGCCGGGTGTTGATTTTCACTCGGCTTTCAGTCCGGTAGTCAAACCCACCACTGTCCGAATCATTCTTGTTGCTGCTCTCCGATTTCACTGGCCCCTTCGCCAGCTTGACGTCAACAATGCATTTCTTCAAGGTGATCTTGAATAGGAGGTTTACATGATGCAACCTCCGGGGTTTACTTGTGCCGACAACCCGACTCATATATGTAAGTTGCGCAAGGCAATTTATGTCCTGAAGCAAGCACCTCGGGCTTGGTACAATGCACTCAAAGGACATCTTTTGTACATGGGATCTGAATCGGACCACTCTCTATTCGTTAGGATCAGCAACACTGGTTTCATATTCATTCTGGTATATGTTGACGACATCAACGTCACCGGCAGCAATCTTATCACTGTGAATGAGGTTATAGCTTCCCTTGCTTCTCGCTTCTCTATTAAAGATTTGGGAAACCTTCATTACTTTCTTGGTGTTGAGGTGATTCGCAGTTCAGACGACATTATTCTATCTCAAGCAAATTATATCAATGAAATTCTCAGTGCAGAATTGATGTCTGATTGTAAAAGTGCTAAAACACCAATTAGTAACTCCGACTTACTCAAACTCAATGATGGGGCTGACCTTACAGATGCAACTCGCTATCGCCGAGTCCTAGACAGACTTCAATATCTGTCCTTTAATAGGCCAGACATTTCCTATGCGGTTAATAAACTGTCCCAATTTATGCAATCACCATCAGACCTACATTGGAATGTTGTGAAACGTGTTCTCAGGTATCTTCGTGGTACAATCCAGTTTGGCCTCCGTGTATCCCCAAATTGTGACTTTAATCTGCACATGTATTCTGATGCCGACTGGGCTGAAGATCTCACTGACAGATCCTCCACATCTGGCTATATTCTATTTCTCGATCGCAACCCCATCAGTTGGTCTTCAAAAAAGCATAAAATTGTCCATCGCTCATCAACTGAAGCTGAATATAGAGTTGTTGCCAACGCTCTTGCTGAACTGTTATGGGTGAAAAACCTATTGCTTGAGATGAAGCTTCCTATCAAGGATACTCCCACAATCTACTGTGACAACATTGGTGTCACTTACCTAAGCGAGAATCCAGGCCTTCATAGTCGCATGAAGCATGTTGAGGTGGACTTTCACTTTGTGCGCAACCATGTTCAACAGAAGGGGGTTCAAGTACCTCGTACCATACTTTTTCTTTATAATATTACAAGTTTATTCTTTATATTATTAGTGCATGACATCATGAAATGACGAAAAATAATACAATCTATCCCAACATTGTATACATCAAAACGATACAATACAATATAATATAATACTATACAATATATTATGACACAATACATAACAACCATCCAAACAAGTTGTAAAGTAATGTGTAATGTACAAAAATTCTATTGAATTTTGTGGCATTAAAAGGTCATATAGAAAGTTAGATTTAAAGAGTTACTAAATTAAGAAAGATATATTCTTTAGGAAATAGACTAAAAAGAAGGTTAGATACATAAATTGAAACGAAAGGAAGTACTAAGCAAGAAAGGAAACCGCGCTAGCCTATTGTCAGCTTTCCCACATACATATTACATTTACGTCTTAGCAAGGCGCGAATCTGGTGCCAATTGGAACTACTCGCCCTTGTCCTGGAAAATGGTGGGGTTCGAGTAGCATAGAGAAAGCATCTAACAACAATTTATCTTGAATTTTCTGAAATAAAATCTGTATGGGTCAGAATCCGACCCCACGATAATTAGCGAAGGTAATCTCGTCTTAAGCTAATTCATGATTGATTAGTGNCATAAACTGCGGCCTCAGGCCCAAAGATGCATAAAGCATTAGCTGCGGCCTTAGGCCCAAAGATGCATAAAGCATTAGCTGCGGCCTCAGGCCCAAAGATAGGTGTTCAACATTCAGGGATTTAAAATCAGGAACTGAGAATCATACTGCAATACATAATAGTGAAATACGGAATCACGCTAAGTTATATGATACTGGAATACTGGATCACACTGAGTTACATTATACTGGAATACTGAATCATACCGTGTTACATAATACTGGAATATTGAATTCTACTGAGTTACATAATACTGGAATACTGAATAGGACTGGAATGATACATGTATTCTTGAACTGGTTATGAACACTGAAACTGCAACTGTTTATGACATGCTGAGTAAGCTATACTGAGACTTCGGGGAATCAAACCCAAGTCTATATTGAATACGAACTGAGCTTACAACGTTCATAATGAAAGTCATGAACGAGTTATGAAGCTAGAGAATAGAAGTTCTACAACTATTCAAGGAACTAGGCTTAACTGTATTTCTGAGGCAATTGATACGTTGTAAAAGAAACGTAGTGTAGGGAGAATCATTAAAATTCCCAAACATAGAGAGTTAGCCTCACATACCTTAACTTCCTGCTCTTGAGCATAATACAACGTTTGTCAACCCCTTTCAACTTTAATCTAAATCAATACAAGTCAAAGGGATTCCATATTAGCAATGATTCTCATGTTTTGGTCACTTAAGCATCTTATCAAACACTTGGTGAAAATAAAGTTTCATAGTCCTTATTAATGGTGTCTCTACACCCAATGACCCATTCTCTTATTACTAGATAAATTCTAAAGCATCAAATTGCTATGTTCAATACCCTTCTTTATCACCCATAAGATAAACGATATCTTTAATCAATAATCAACAATCAACAATCCAATCCTATAATTTTTCATGCTTTTCTATCAAATCCATCAACTCATATCTCATGAACTAGGGTTTATAATTATTAAACCAATGTTAGAATTAATTAGAGGGTGAAGATATTACCTTTTTGACGTTCAATCTTCTTGAATTCGAGTTCTAGGGTTTCTTCTCTCAACAATGGTGTCCCAATCGAATATCTAATGATATGGAGGGTTTACCCATGTTAATAAGATGTTGAGAAATTAAAATTAACTTAAAATCACCATTAGAACTTACCTTGGGTGGTGGAAGGACCCTTAAGGAGTTAGGTTTTTGAGAGTTCCCCTTTCTAGAGCAAGTTTTTATGTTTTGGGGTTGTGGGGGACGAAATATAGCTTTAAAACAACCCCCCACGCGCGAGTTCGCGCACCTGGAGGCCTGTTCGCGCGAGAGTTCGCGCTCAACGGCAGTAACACTGCCTCCCACGCGCGAGTTCGCGCACCTGAAGGCTTGTTCGCGCGAGTGTTCGCGCATACGCGTACTGTTCCGAAAAATGCACATATCTTTTTACACAGAGATCCGTTCGGGCTCCATAATATATCGTTGGAAAGCTATTTTAAAGGCCTACAACTTTCATGCTTTAAGTTTTCTCAAATTCGTTACACATTTTCACTAAACACTGATGGAATACAGACCTTCTGCAAACTTAGTCGATTTTGTCAAATCTTATGCACCTCACTTTCCATCTTGATTTTGAAACAACTATTTTCACCCACAATCATCCCGCTAGGACTTCATATGTCTAAAATATCAAATTAATACCCATTTAACATATCCATACCTAGTCCGAATGTACGGGGTGTTACATTTAGATAGTGTTTGATTTGATAAGTCTCCTAATTCAAGGAGTACTCTTAGGAAGACTTGTATTTGAACTGAACTTGGCATTCAATACACACACAGTTTTCCATCATATTCTTGAGTGTTCATATGGTATCTGAGCCTATACAACTCTAACGAGCACGATCCAATTTTTTTTTCTTCTTCCCAATGACGAAAGATGGAAACACTACCAGAATTGTCAATGCCGACAACATTAACGGCACCACAACCATCATCCAATTCAACCCTGCTTCCCAACTACCTATCAAACTTAGTGGCAGTCACAATTTTGCCACTTGGAAAGCTCAGTTCTCCATACTTATGCACGGCCATGATCTCTATGGTCACCTTGATGGGTCTACCCTAATTCCCACACCGACAACTACTTTTGGCACCAATACAACTCCTAATCCTACTTATACGCTTTGGTTCCATCAGGATCAACTCATCCAGAACGCTCTTATGGCGTCTGTTGACCCTACCATTGCTTCCACAGTTGCTGCTGCCAGCACATCCAAACATGCTTGGGACTCCTTGCACACTGCTTATGCAAACAAGTCCCAGACTCGGATCTTCAGCCTTCGTGACCAACTTGCACGAATCACAAAAGACAACATTCCTATTACTGAGTACCTTCAGTGTATTCGGTCCCTCTCTGATGAACTTGCCACTGCAGGTGCTCCGGTCACTAACTCTGAACTTATCGTCAAGATTCTTAGTGGACTTGGCCCTGAGTTTCGTGAGATATCTGATGCCATATGAGCACGTGACACCACTGTCACCTATGAGGAATTGTATGAAAAATTGCTCGATCACGAGCTCTTTATCCAACATGAGGATGCTAAGAAAACTCTTAGTCCTATCACAGCGGCGGTTGCTACTCACAACAAACAGAACAACACTGCCACCAATCGCAACAATCGCCGCCAATCCTACAACAACAACTCCCAATCATGGCGACAGAATACTCGCTCCAACTCATCCACCCAGTGGCAACCCCAAAACAATAACCCCATGGGTGTTATTCGTTGCCAATTATGCAACAAGATTGGCCATACTGCAAATGTATGTCGATCCAAATCACACAATCATTTTGAGGCCAAAGCCAATTATATCACAGGCTTCAACACTACTGCCAACCCGTGGATAGTGTACTCGGGTGCCACACACCATGTCACAACCGAACCTCATAACCTCCAACCATATCACGGCAACGAGGATGTCTCCATGGGTGATGGTAACAAAATTCCCATCTCGCATATTGGTTCTACTCAGTTAAATGCATCAAATAATGTTTTTAAGCTAACTCACACTCTATGTGCTCCAGCTATCAAACGAAATCTTATTTCTGTTTCTAAATTTTGTCAGGACAATCTAACATCTCTTGAATTCTTTCCTTTTTCTTTTCTTGTGAAGGATCTGAAAACGCGAACGCCGCTGGCACGAGGCCGGACCAGAAATGGACTGTATGAGTGGCCCAAATCACATCCACAAGCTCACATATCTACCGCTTCAACTTCCCTGACCACTTGGCACCAAAGATTGGGTCACCCGCATTCTAGAGTCCTTGCATATGTCTTGAATAAATTCTCGCTCCCATTTGTTGAGCGAGACAAGTTTCTTTATTGTAATTCTTGTTTGTCTAATAAAGCCCATCGACATCCGTTTCACACATTAACTCTGGAAAGCTCTAAACCTCTTCAAATTATTTTCAGTGATTTATGGGAACCCTCTCCTGTGTTATCTGTTGATAAAAAAGTATATTACTGTATTTTTGTTGATCAATACACAAGATACACTTGGCTCTACATACTTAAAAATAAATCTGAAGTCAGAGACATTTTTCAAATATTCCATCCTTTGATAGAAAAACATTTCGATACCAAAATTCTATCGCTTTATACTGATGGTGGAGGAGAGTATAAAAGTCTTGACCCTTATCTCTCGCTTCACGGTATCGAACACCTTTCCACTCCACCCTATACACCTCAAAGAGTTGCTCTTGATGAGCGAAGGCATCGTCACATTATTGAAACTGCACGAACACTCTTGCATGAGGCGTCTCTGCCATCACTTTTTTGGTCCTTTGCCTGTCACCATGCGGTCTATCTCATTAACCGACTCCCTACCATACTTTTAAATAATATTTCTCCTTTTGAAAAATTATTTGGTAAAACACCTGATTATGCTTCTCTAAGAATTTTTGGGTGTTTATGTTATCCACGGCTTAAACCATACTCTAAAAATAAACTTGAACCAAAATCCACCCTATGTGTTTATCTCGGTTTTTCATTGTCCCATCACTGCCACCAATGCTTTGATCCAATCTCAACAAAAATTTATTTATCCCGTGATGTGCATTTTGTTGAAAATAACTTTCCTTTCAAAACTTTGTTCTCTAATATTACCATTCAAAAAAGGCACCTGGAATGGACAACTAATGCATTTTGTAATACACCCAATCTCACCACTAATGTTTCTAATTTTTAGACTTGCCCCCCCCCCCCCTCCTCCCCATACACATTGAAATACCAACTCCAGTGGCAGAACCCCAAACCCAAACGACATCTCCTTCCCTAGACCAAATTGACCCACCACTCCCATCCTCCATTTCCGGCGTGCCAGTGGCAGAAGCAAATTCAGACTCTTCCAAGACTTCAACTCCAGGTAATCCTCTCTCTTCTTCTTCTTCTATAATTCCCATTGCCCAGGAGTCTCTTTGCCCATGCCCATCTTCTCCAATACCTTCGACCACTGTCCGTCAACCACCAAACCCCAACACACCTATAAATTCACCATCTTCTACATCTAAACCATCACAAATCTCTCCCCCACTTCGAGTATATCACCGCAGAACACCCCAATCCAAACCTATGGCACCTCTTCCTATTGTCTCTGTTCGAACCAGCGGCAACCAAGCGGCCCCACCAGTCGAACCCATACTTTCCCGCTGCCCTTCCCCTCCCAATCGTATTATCACCCGTTCCCAGAATAACATTCAAAAACCAAAGCAAATTTTTGACTACCTTGCTCATTTAGAAACCTCACTTGTACCACATACCTTCAAACAAGCCGAGAAACATCCTGAGTGGAGAAAAGCTATGAAATCAGAATTTGATGCTTTGCTGAATAACCGTACTTGGGAACTAGTTCCAAATGATCCTTCTAAAAATGTTGTTTCATGTAAGTGGCTTTTCAGGATTAAGAGGAAAGCAGATGGTTCGGTTGATCGCTACAAAGCGAGACTAGTTGCAAAGGGATTTACTCAGAGGTCGGGTGTTGATTTTCACTCGACTTTCAGTCCGGTAGTCAAACCCACCACTGTCCGAATCATTCTTGCTGCTACTCTACGATTTCACTGGCCCATTCGCCAGCTTGACGTCAACAATGCATTTATTCAAGGTGATCTTGAAGAGGAGGTTTACATGATGCAACCTCCGGGGTTTACTTGTGCCGACAACCCGACTCATATATGTAAGTTGCGCAAAGCAATTTATGGCATGAAGCAAGCACCTCGGGCTTGGTACAATGCACTCAAAGGACATCTTTTGTACATGGGATTTGTCAAGACTGAATCGGACCACTCTCTATTCGTTAGGATCAGCAACACTGGTTTCATATTCATTCTGGTATATGTTGACGACATCATCATCACCGGTAGCAATCTTATCACTGTGAATGAGGTTATAGCTTCCCTTGCTTCTCGCTTCTCAATTAAAGATTTGGGAAACCTTCATTACTTTCTTGGTGTTGAGGTGATTCGCAGTTCAGACGACATTATTCTATCTCAAGCAAATTATATCAATGAAATTCTCAGTGCAGAATTGATGTCTGATTGTAAAAGTGCTAAAACACCAATTAGTAACTCCGACTTACTCAAACTCAATGATGGGGCTGACCTTACAGATGCAACTCGCTATCGCCGAGTCCTAGACAGACTTCAATATCTGTCCTTTAATAGGCCAGACATTTCCTATGCGGTTAATAAACTGTCCCAATTTATGCAATCACCATCAGACCTACATTGGAATGCTGTGAAACGTGTTCTCAGGTATCTCCGTGGTACAATCCAGTTTGGCCTCCGTGTATCCCCAAATTGTGACTTTAATCTGCACATGTATTCTGATGCCGACTGGGCTGAAGATCTCACTGACAGATCCTCCACATCTGGCTATATTCTATTTCTCGATCGCAACCCCATCAGTTGGTCTTCAAAAAAGCATAAAATTGTCCATCGCTCATCAACTGAAGCTGAATATAGAGTTGTTGCCAACGCTCTTGCTGAACTGTTATGGGTGAAAAACCTATTGCTTGAGATGAAGCTTCCTATCAAGGATACTCCCACGATCTACTGTGACAACATTGGTGTCACTTACCTAAGCGAGAATCCAAGCCTTCATAGTCGCATGAAGTATGTTGAGGTGGACTTTCACTTTGTGCGCAACCATGTTCAACAGAAGGGGGTTCAAGTTGTTCATGTTCATTCTGCTGACCAACTAGCTGATACGCTCACCAAACCACTTGCCAAACCAGCCTTTGACCGAAATTTGTTCAAGTTAGGCTTAGTTACACATCGCATAACTTGAGGGGGGCGTATTGGAACAACAGTTGTACCTAGTTGTTTTGGATTAGTTCTTAGCTTTCATGCTTATCTTTAGACTAGATATAGATTTAGAGTTATCCTTTTAGTTCATACTTATCATTCAGTTAGTTAGCTTTAGATAGTGTTTTGATTTGAATAAGTCTCCTAATTCAAGGAGTACTCTTAGGAAGACTTGTATTTAAATTGAGCTTGGCATTCAATACACATACAGTTTTCCATCATATTCTTGAGTGTTCATACCCACCCACCACCCACCCCCCCAAATTCTCGATTTCCCTTTTTTGGACTTACTTATTAGTTACATATAAGTCTCTTTTAAAAAAATTAATATAATTCTTGTATAATAAGGTTTCTTCTCTATGGTGTATCCCCTTGTACAATAAATGATTTGTCAATTTCTCTGATAAATTAAGAAACTTACGGCTGCTCTTTGATAAAAATAGAAATTCAGTGTTCTGGTATGCTTTATCCTTAAATCGCATTCCACATTCGTTTTGCATATTTATCGCATTTTATTGAGCCAAAAGCAGTGACAAAACAAGCAAATATGCATATATAAAGCATGTGCCAAAAAAAAGTGCACATTTCGGGTAAAAACACATCTTGTTATAAATACAATTATATTTGTGGTGAATGTCTATATTTAGAGAGATTCTAGGGTTTATTACTTGGTGGCTAAGTCACCATCTCCCTATAAATAGAGGGTTCTATACCATTGTAATTAATTCCAAATATCAATAAGAATTCTCTCTCCCCACTTTTCCCTGCAATACTTTTCTTCTTCTTTTATTGTTTAATAACACATCTATTATATTACATTAAATAGTTTTTTGTCTCCGTTAATATAAGCTGCATCTGTGATATGTTTTTTCAAAGACTTAAATTATTTCACTCAGGATTAAAGGGAAAACAATCGTCTGTTTTAAAACCACATCATTAGGTAAAACTATTGCAGTAAAGTAGAACTTAAGAAGGTAACAAGATGTTATGCAGACTTCAAAAAACTGAGCATCTTCTTTCTATATCAGTTTTCAGTACATTTTTGGCATTATGCTGAATGATAGTGAAAATCAACCAATGTTGAGTAGAATTCCAAAGCTTAATCCCAATGCAAATTATATATACTGTAGATACAGCCAGCACCATATACGTAGTAAGAAAATACTTTAAAGTTGAAAGGAAAAATATTAGCCACAAGGGCAAGCCAGTATGTTTTGAGAGGAAAAGAAACAAAAAAGTCATACATCATTGTGTTAATATCTAACCAGTAACATTTACATAATTCTTTGAGGTACTAGCAACTGAAGCAGAAGAATCTATCTATCTTGGCGTAACCGGTAAAGTTACTGCCATGTGACTAGGAGGCCACGTGTTCGAGCGATGGAAACAGCCTCTTGCAGAAATGCAGGGTAAGGCTGCGTACAATAGACCCTTGTGGTCCGGCCCTTCCCTGGACCCCGCGCATAGCGGCCCTTCCCTGGACCCCGCGCATAGTGGGAGCTTATAGTGCACCGGCTGCCCTTTTGTTGGAGTCATTCAATAGACTAGACTGAAGGGGAGCCTTGGAGCAATAACAAAGTTGTCTTCGTGTATGACCTGTAGGTCACGGATTTAAGCCACGGAATCAGCCAAGGTGCCTACACACCCCCTCGGGATGGCGCCCTTCCTCGGACCCTGCATATTTTAAGGATGAAATTCCTAACTCACTTCCAAGAGTAAAGAGCAGGAAGAAAAAGGAGCAAGGATTTTGACAAAAGCAAAAAAAACATCTAAAAGGTAGATCACTTGTGACCAGACAGACAACAACGGAACAAGGAAGCGCCGGTGAGGTTTTCTACACAGAAGCGGAAACAGATGTCAAAGGAGCTAAATACCATATAAGAAAATGTCTCCTCATCTAATGTAAATCGTTAAATATAGACGATTACAAGGCTCGTGCACTTGACGAGTTTACTACCACTTCAAGCTAGAAAACTGAGGACTGAGATTTCTAAAATGTGGTGGTCTCTACTTATATTGGCATTTCAGAGGGGGGAAATGTACCCATTCTCCCCAAACCAACAGAGACAAACACACTTCAGCATGCCTAATAATGATTAATGCAGAAGGGACAGTTAAACAAGACAAAAAAAGATCTTCAGAAAAGCTGGGAGGTCATTTACTCATTTGTTGCATATGATTAACATCGCTAAACTAGATTTTAGTTGTCCTGAAAGACTGAAAATATCTTCTATTACATAAATTTGGTAGCTGAAATGTAATACAAACTTTTGCCTACTTTGTTATAATCAACAATATCAGTAGCCATGCATCTCTACAATATTTCACATAGTCGGAAGTAAAGCGACAATATTCAAAAAAATTGTGAAATTAATTCCTTCAGTCTTGATTATTGAAGTGGCAACTTGGGGCAGCTTGCTGTTTATACATAGCAAAAGAAGCAAACATAGAGTGGAATATACATGATAGTTCACCCGTTTTTATCTGGCGACTAATTTCAATGGAGCACCAATTCTGAAAGGCAATAAGCATTACAAAGGAGTAATCAAGTTACACAGACGGAGAACTTTGATCATGGCTCATTAAAAATGAACACATTGCTAAGGCATCAGAATGATTAGTGTTTTAAAAGATTAACAAAAAGAGTTGCAAGTCCTCGATCCAATCACATAATTTACAAGAAGCAGACTCACTTTTAAGCTAAACCAGGAACAAGAAAACTAAGTTCTTATTCAGGAGATTCATGAAAGTAGCCAACAAACTTAGTTGATCACTGTCCATTACTGTTGCTAATAACCAAGTATTCAATTTCATCAGAACAATTTTAGCAATCTGTCATGGGCTGCAACTGATATCAGTTACCTCAGCAAGAACGAGAAAATTTGAGGAAAACCGGACGCTTCAACTAGGGAATAGACTAATAGAGAAACCTTGTCCATATTGATCCATATACTTTGAGAATATTGTTGCTTATTCCGAGTCAGATTATAACATAAATGCGCCCAAAGTGACTATCATGTTCAACATCGATAACTAGTTGCTGATAGCAGGATAGAAAGAATGCTAAATGAAGTTGACAATAGAAAACACAGTGCTATCACAACATAATTACAATAGTAGAACTCATCTAACTGAACAGTTTCATAACAGATACTAAGCACCAAATCCTAATTCTCCGAAAAGTAACAGAGTTTGACCTTAAGAGAATAATGTAGTGGGAAAAGGGGATTCACAGTTCCATGAAGAGTTGAAGACCATACCGACAACTCCATATTGACATTTACAATAAAACACCACTAGTCCAATAAAAGGTACTAAAACAAAGACCAAATGTTATTCAACACAAATTCTAGAATACATGGAAGTCAAATTGACAGGATTTGCAGAAGGCTAAAATCAACAGTTACCCTGATATCAATCATCCCCTGTTGGGAACAGAGTAAGGACCTTTCTCCCATTGACGGGCACGGCTGAAGAATCCACATCATCAACATAAGGTGACACCACAGGACTACCATTATGCACTGATGTCCCCATCCTCTGAACCTGCTGCTGTGATTGCCTAGACAAAAATGGATGATGATCAAAATGTCCATTCGCTGGTGACCCAAATTGCCTATACTGCTGTTGAACTTGAGGATGATGGTGTCCAACAACCACTCCCATATGATGGTTATGATGCTGCATTGATGACACTGGCACAAATGGCAAGAACTGGTCAGGATTACCCCTCCCGGCCGGATGCAAAAAATGTGCTGGCACTGGTGAACTAGCAAACAAATTGTCCATTGCAGAATCAACACCTGCCCCTGATAAAGATTGACCACTGTTTCCACCACTACCACCATTAGAAAGACCTTGCATTCTTTTCAAATAAAGCCTGTATTTTTGCAAATGACTAGCAACATTTTCGCGCGTTAGGCCATCGACACTCATCAGTTGCATTATAGTCTTTGGGACAGCATTCTTGATCCCCAAATGAGCAACTGCATCCACAAACCTCTTGTGCAGCTGTGGGGTCCACACAAGCCTAGGCCTTTTTATTGTCCTAGCTGGTTCATCTCCACCACCTCCTAATCCATTCAATTCAGAAGACTCAAATTCAGCTGATGAATTAGGCTGCTGTTGAGAGGATTGAGGAATCTGAGTCTGCTGCTGCTGTTGTTTGTTTGGAGGATTATTTGGGCTAGTGGGGTTAGCAATATCAAAAGCTATAGCAAGATCAGGAGATATAAGGGTTTGGGATAAAGGCATTAACTCTTCTGGTTTTGGCAATTCTTCTTCCCATTTAGCAAACCAATTTGAATCCTCTTCCCTCATTTTCCTTACCAAATTTTGGATATTCAACCAATTATCTGGGTCAAGATCTCAACTTTATGATTGCTCTAACTTGGTGGATAGCTTGGAGTATATGAATTAGCTCTAATATTACTGTCATCAAGAAAAAAACAAAAAAATATCTCACCTTTATGGGAACTTAAAGATTGACAAAAGAATCTAAAACAAGGCTAGAATCAGACAAGAGAGTGTATGTGAAGATATGGGGTGGGAAAAAGACAAGTGTAAACATAGAAAGATGAGATTTTTATGAGATGTGTGTTTGTTTTTTTCTCACTCTCCTCCTCTGTAATGAAGAATCTTGATTTCTGGGTGAGGGAGAAAATGAAGGTTTACTTTGGAAATTTGGAAATGTGGATAACGGAGAGGATTGAGGGAGAGTGAGGGTGGATTGTGGAGAGGGGTTCGAAGTGGATCTTGTTTCTTTTCAGCTTTTTAAGTATTAATGTTACTGTTACAAGATGCTTTTGTTATGATATTTTGTGGAAATTTAGGGGCCATGTGGATGAGAAGCAAGGTGGGGTAGGTGTAGGGTTATAGGGTGGCTAGTAGGGGGAGTATGTAATAGAAAAAAAATATTATCAATTTATTTATGTGTACTTATTTTTCTTTTTTGTTCGATTCAAACAAAAATAATTCATTTCTAAGGACCAATTGGTCCATAAATATTTTTTCTTTTTTTCATAAAATTTTTCAAGTTTCTGAAAATTCATTTCAAGAATTTATTGTTTCCTCGCTCACAAAACTGCAATATTTTTTCAACTGAAATGCATGTCCAAACATAATATCAAATTTCAAATACCATTTTTCAACTTAACTCCAAATACTACTATTTTTCAAAAATCATATATAATTTTTGTGTCCAAATTGCCTACTAATTTTGAAAATAATTAAACTTAAACTTTCAATTTTTCTCTCAATTAGAAGTTTTTGTAGCCACACAAATACTCTGTCATGTTTAACACCACAAGTTTCAAAAGAACTATAGTCACACAAATATTATGACTTGTTTAGAACCACAAAACTTAAATATATTTATTTCTTTCTTAAACTACGTGATCAATCAAATAGGTTCGCATAAATTAAAACAAATAGGGTATTATATTACGTGATATACTATTTTCTTACTGATTCGCTTTTTTAAACATTGATATAGACATCAAAATTTTATCGATCAAATCCATATAAAAGTTGGGCAAAATCCTAAATTTAAGTTACTACAAGTAGAGTCCAAGGAGGTTTCTTGGAGGCTATTCTATCTGAAACCCTAACTTGGAACCTACTCTACCTGAAACCCTAGCTTGGAGGGTACTCTACCCAAAATTCTAGCTACACCTATAAAATAAGGCCACATATTCCCTTTTTTATTTTTGTATCACAAAAAATTTGTTGCAAACAATTGCATTGAATTAAATTCCGCCAGATAAATTGGAACAGAGAGTATATTATATACACTTAACACTTCACTACAGTATATGTATTTTCATCTCAATTTACCCTGATAAATTTAATGGTTTGGTAGAAACAGGATCTGTGAGCAAATTTATAACTAATGTGATGACATTTTTGCGGGATTTAAGGTTTCCTTATGTTTTGGTTGCTTACCAAAAGAGTCTCCAGAGAGGGAAAGTACATGAGATCTTAATGAGATTTTACCAAGTATCGATCTGGCTTTGTCGGTTATAGTTTGAATAAAAGAAAAAGATTATGATAGCTCAATTATTAGTATAAAGTCATCTGACTATAATTAATCTTTTACAATATTAAGGTAACATTTGTTTTAGAGTTTGAAAATGCTTAAGATAATAATGTACTCCCTCTGATGCACAATAAGTGAATTTTTGGCCTTTTTTTGTGGTCCAAAATATCTTATTTTTCCAGATTTCAAGAATGAATTAATTACTTTTTTTTCTACATTGCCCTGAGAGTAAATACTGTTGGAGTATGTGTTTGAGGTGTTTATGTAAAAAGATAGTAAAGGTTAAAATGATCAATTTCATTGCTAATTAATTTTAAAAGGTAAATTTCTTAATTTGTGTGAAAATAGCCAAAAAATCACTTATTGTGGGCCGGAGGGAGTACTAGTTAATCTTCAGTGTTTTCTTAAGTTATAATTTAGGAAAATTTTCGTTCCTATACCATATAGGAAACTATATTACCAAATATGTTCATAGTTTGCATATTACCCTTCATGCTAATAGTATTTCTACAAAATATAGACAATGCATTAAATAAGGAATCATTGTAGCTGTAGGCTTCCTTATTTAGGTGCGCTAAAATTGAGGAATTAAATATTCTTCCAGATCTTCCACAACGCAAATCACGCATATTAATCTTCTTCGTCAGTTTCGTTTCAAATTTAGCGTCTCTTCTTTTTCGATACACTGTGTTTCAAACTTTTTTCTTATTTCACAAATCAAAAACGACTAAATCTTCTACAATTCTTCTACATCAAACGCAATTATGTCCAAATTTCAGTAATACAAAGCAAAGGAAAAGAGAGCAGCAATTCCACCATTGACAGCCATTAAAAAGCTTTGAAGCTTTGAATTCAAATTTGGGTTTTCAAAAATTATTATTTGTTTGGATTGGGTGTTGTTGCAAATAATTGGGAATATGGTTTGGAGTTTATATCTCAATTTTGAGAAGTTTTGGTGAAGATTAGACTTGGTTTTGGCTGAATTTCGGATTGAAACTCGAAGAAGAAGAAGAAGAAGAAGAAGAAGAAGAAGAAGAAGAAGAAGAAGAAGACGACATGACATACATTATATTGCAGAAATTGTAGATAAATTGTAGATAAATTATAGAATAAATTGTATTATGTTGTTTATTTATTTTTCTTTTATTCATTTAACTATTGTATGAAAGTTGAACAACATTGTATAAAAATTATATTTAAGTGGTATTATATTGTAGTTGTATATAACTTAGTTGAAATAATGTAAGAAAATTGTAGATAATTTGTAGATAAGTTGTATAATATATAATTAGTTGTATGAAAATTACTTTTACTATGTATAAATCAGATACAAAATATACAAAAGACATATTGTATAAATTTTGTATAAAATTTGTATGTAAGTTTTATGTTATTGTAGTTATATTTCACTGGGTGGAAATAATGTGTGAAAGTTGTAGAAAATTGTAGATAAGTTGTATTCCTCTATAACGGGAGATGTTGGCATATCAAGTAACTTTAGTGTTCCAGACGAACATGCATGAAAATAAAGATAAATTCTGTTATGAACAGTTTGTAGAAATTTTGTAGATAATTTGTAGAAACATGGAAATTCTGTATTTTCATATTAATTTTTCAAATGATATGTAGTTTTGTTGTAGATTAAATGTAGAAAACAAGCCATTGTGAGTATTATTTGACTCATTCCTCACATTCAACCTATTCTACAAATTCACGCCTCTTTAAATACAATACCATACTTTCTTGAATTTAAAGGTATAGCTTAAAAAACATCTTCTTCTGCACAAGCTAGCTCCAAAACAGACGAAGTGGAATAACAAGCTCCCATCAAAACTTTTAACACAAAAAACACAAAAGCTCAAAAATAAATAAACAACAGTCTACAATTTATCTACAATTGCTGCAATATAATGTATGTCATGTCTTCTTCTTCTTCTTCTTCTTCGAGTTTCAATCTGAAATTCAGCCAAAACCAAGTCTAATCTTCACCAGAACTCCTCAAAATTGAGATATAAACTCCAAATCATATTCCCAATTATTTACAACAACACCCAATCCAAACAAATAATGATTTTTGAAAACCCAAAATTGAATTCAAAGCTTCAAAGCTTTTTAATGGCTGTTAATGGTGGAATTGCTGCTCTCTTTTCCTTTCCTCTTATATTACTGAAGGAACCCGAAATCATAACCATCAAATCGACTAGGCTTGTGCTCATCTTCCCCGGGCACAAAAACATTGGGACAAGATTACAGAGGAGCCGACAGTGCCTTGGCTATGGAAGAAATAATGGAATTTTGATACAGAAATCATGGGTGTGGGAGGGAAACGTGAATGAAGGTGTGGGAATTGGAGAGAGAAACGTGGGGGGGAGTGGTATTAGAAGGAATATACGGTACCATTAAATTAGGAGTGTAATTAATACCCTTAAAAACCACTAATGCTATATAATTGATAATTAGGTACACTAAATGTAATTATATCAAACCTTAAACATTGAGGGTAATATAGTTTCCTATATGGCATAAGAATGTAAAAATTCCTATAATTTAATCCGACATCAACTTTATTACGCTTATAAATCACGACCCAAACCACTGAACTGATCAGATGGCCACGAAAGGTGCTTTTACAGCTCAAGTCAAAGGTCAAGAGATTCTCTTTTTAAAAATACTGTTTGTACATTGTTTCAGAAACATAGATGAGGTTGTACAGGAATTATGATTGGATAGAGGATATAAAAATTATGAAGTGGAAAGAGGGAAACACTTTCCCAAAAATAAATTATGATTAGAAAAGAAAGGAGGAGAGAGAGAACAAGATGAAGTCGAATGAAAGAAAAGGAAAGTGGAAAGCTGACCCCATTTGAAGTATATGTAATATTCTTACTTTACTGCAAATTGAGTGTCTTACCTATAATTTCTATAATAACAAGGATTATGTGGCTATGTGCAATGCGAAATGGTCACTAGCAACATCTTTTGCTTCCAAATTGGACAATCCACTAGTGAAAACATCACCAATCAACATTAGCTAATCTGTGATTTGGCTTACATATAAAGGATGTGAAAGACCTGTTCAATCAGAATATTAATGTAAACCCACTTTGGTTGTATATAGCTAACAAAAATGTTTATGCATAATACAAAAGATACCATGAATGAATGAAACTGGCATTGTATATGCTGCAGACTTCTGGTTTTCTTGTCAAACCCCAGATGTATACCGATAGTGGAGCTCCCTCTCTATCTACTTAATAACAGCATCATATCAAACATTTCATGAGTATGGACGCCTTGATTGCAAACAATTTGTCGAAGGATCAGACTGAAATATCAATTCCTGAAACATTGCCCTCCCTGTAGCGACCAATAGGTGCTCATTCTGGCTTGCCATTGATGGCTTCTGCAACCAGAAGTTCATGACCTTCACTATACAGAACGGACTCTCCCTTGATGCATCTAATCAACAGCTTTTGGAGATCAATTCCAAATATGTTCTTCGTGCTGTATATTTCTGGAGCTAAAATGGTATGCAGATTCGTGAAAGGCAGCATATGTAAACAATGGCAACAGCATCCATCTGTGCAAAGACTCCAATCATGATCTAGATGGCGGTGATAAAAGAAATACCACAATTGATTAAAGGTCGCACTTCAAGGGAGAAATTTTATGTCCATGCTTACTTTCATGAAGATATATGAATTTGCTAAACAAGTTGGAATAAGGAAGATTTCTAGGAACTCATACAAGGAGACATCCTCGAGAAAGCAGTCAGAAGCAAATTAGCAAGCTCAATGCACCATATTGACTTGACAAATAATTTGAAAATAAAGAGAAAGATAAAGCTCTTCTGCTTCTACAGTGCTTCCAATAATATGTAGTGATTTTGTGCAATAAGAATGTTACTAAACTAAAATACATATATAACATACTTAAACATCTTAACATGCATTGCTTGATGATTTATTTTAATCAATATCCACGTATCCTGAATTTAAGATTAGAAATCTCACATTGTGACATCAAGTGTCCGCATTCCAGGAGGACCATGCTGCAAACAAAAAGAAGAGTCTAGTGTCTGTTGGTTGAAGCACCTTTTAACAAATCAGCTTTTGGGAATCAATCAGTCACAATCCAATACTTAGATGACAGAAATATAATTAACATATTTATGGAAGATTTCGCATCCACAATCAGAAGTGTTAGTACTTAATCAGGTCGCTTCTATCCTTAGGATTTTGCCTCACTGATTTATGGTTGAATCAGATAGTTTTCAACATTCTAAATTTGAAGCATCTTTTGGTCAAAAAGCACTTCGTTTGCAGGTTTGAGAAGTACATGGAACAGAATGTAGATATGGATACATTAGATTCCTGATCTAATAGGATGTGTTTTTTCTTTTATCATATTAGACTACTTTCTTAAATTATAAATGAAAAACATAACTGATTTAGTTTACAGTTTTCCCGTGCCTAGTCCCCCTCGCCCTCGATCTTCCCATTGGATGTCAGAGAACTACATTAAAATACATCCAAGTTTGAAACCCCTCCTTGAACTAGCAGCCTTTTATATCAAATCTTCTACCAAGAAGTAAAAAGCTACTAAAGGTTTATAAGAACTTTTTTTTTTGGTTAAAGGGGATTGAATATATTAACAAACTAAAAGGATAAAATAGGTGCATCAGAGGGGAAATTTGCATCCCCCTGTAGAATCCCAACTATATGATATACTACTCCCTCCGGTCCACAATAAGTGACTTTTTGGCCTTTGGCACACCCCTTAAGAAAATACTAACTCCTAGAAAAAAATAAGTATCTTGACTATATATTATCCTTAATTAAAATCTGTATATTGTTAACTTGACACATTGGGGTATGTAAATAAGGGCAAATTTTGAAAAACTAAAGCTAATTCATTCTTGATTATGTAAAAAGGACACTTATTTTGAACCAAAATAAAAAGGCCAAAAAGTCACTTATTGTGGACCACAGGGAGTACTATATAGATAAATTTAGCTTCCTCTGCACCAGAAGGCATTTATTCTAACTTCAGTTTCCCCAACAGTTCTTTTAAATGGCTTTATTCTGAACACAGCTGATAGGGAACTAAACTTATATCCAACTGCAGCTTGATACATACTTCCACAATTGTGTAAAAAAGTTATAAAATAATAGGTGTAAGCTAAGTAGGTAATACAAAGGCAAAATCAATATAGTGCCATGCAAGCACAAGCCATTATTACTCAACCAGTGCCAGTTAAGGAAGACAATAGTGTTGGATACAAATTACTAAACCGAGGAAAAGGAGGACAATGGACAAGAATATACCAGCATGGAATTCGACTTGATCTGTATTAGTAATCATTGGTGACACTAATCATCTTTCACAGAGTTTGAGTGCACAAGCCTCTGAAACCTATTTGATAATTCTTGGTATGAATGAACTTCAGATGGAGGCACTTGTCTAATGGCGGCCTTCAGATGTTTCATTGTTATTTCAGAGGCATCAAGGCTTTCCTGATACCAAAAAAGTTAGTACAGAGGAAAATATGCATAAACAGAAAGAGAGGGGGTGGGAAGGAGATGTATAGACACAGCCACAAAAGTGTAAATTTACTTCAATTGCTGCAATAGCTGCTTCACGACATATCAGAGATATGTCAGCACCAGTACAGCCGCTCGTTAGCCGGGCTAGGTCTTTAATGCATATGTCAGAACTGCATGGCATCTTCTGCAAATGTATGTGGAATATTGCCTCCCTGTCTTTTTCATCCGGAGGTCCGACATACAGCAATCGATCAAAGCGTCCTAACAAAAATTGCAGCAAAAGCAGCAAACAAGGTATCGGTAGTAGTAGCAGAATTCGACATGAAAGGTAGCAGCAGAACAGAGGATTTCACCTGGTCTTAGAAGAGCAGGGTCAATCTTGTCTGGCCGATTTGTTGCAGCAATAACAGTGACATTAACTCTCTGGTGCAAACCTTTAACAAAAGAAATGTAAAGTTCCAGCTTAAAACGATTAGAAACTTTGACAATCAAGAGTTCCTCATACATAAAAAAACTGAGACAATTTAGAACTGCTTTGCCACGTTAGATCCTATTTCTACCAATTAAACTAAGCCATATTACGGGCAGTGTTGGCATTTGAATTAAAGGACTTAAATTTTTTGTCATACACACTACCCTCCCCAGACCCCATTTATGGGATTACACTAGGTTTGTTGTTATTGTTGACTTAAATTTTTAGTCAAGAAAAAGAAAATCATATAATGGAATGTCAGTGCCTTTCTCTTCCCCCAGCTACCCGTTAGTGCCTCAGGTTTAATGTGGAGATAAGAATCTCATGTTATACATGCTTAGGAATGATTTTAAACAACAAGATATTCAAGAAAATACGTCTCTAGGACCAAATCACTCTTGTAGCCCTCCGCACTATATTACTCCTCCGGCTATTAAAAGACATCCTTAGGCACCTGCTTCCGACATGAACAAATAATGGCATTGACTCACTGATAAAAAAGAAGAAAAACTATATTATACACTCTGCCATGTTAAAAGTAAATGACATGGGCGTAGTTACTTCATCCAGACCCTTCAAAAATCACTGAAAAGCCTTCTAAAACCTGAACGTATGCATCCCGAATACATACTCCTATGTGATGCTTGAAAAGTTCATGTAACATTTCTGTGTCTTGGCACTACAACCTCAGCCTCAACCCTACTGAAGCTCACCACCTAAACAGGTCATTCATACCTAACCCAGACGTACCTGGTTTTTTTAACATCGGAACTAGCGCAGCATAAGGAAAAAGGCACAAAGAGGGGAGGCAGTGTCTAGTATATGGCTGATCTTGATTCATTACTTAGAAATTATTTCCTAACCCAATGAAAATCATAGAGTGCCTAGTATATGACGTTGATCTTGATTCATTTATCTTAGAAGTTCTTTCCCCACCCCATGAAAAAAGTAGTTATGTATCCCTTTAAATTTTGAAGTGGGAACTTTGATAGAATGGTAATCTGGTTTCATTTCAAATGCTGCTTCGCCAAATGGCCACCAACTAAACTTGCTGACCTAAACAAACAAGATCACCCACTAATGTTCTTCAATATAGTTCAAGTGTTAACAGCTGAGAAGTCCTTTAAATGTGGAACACTCACCATCTAATTCAATAAGAAGTTGACTCATGACCCGATCTGCCACAGAAACCCCATCACTTTCTTTGCCACGTACAACAGCAAGGCCATCTATTTCATCAAAAAATATAATTGAGGGAGCATTTGCCCTAGCCTTTGCAAATAAAGTTCTGACAGCTTTTTCTGATTCCCCCACCCATTTACTGTAAAGCTCAGGGCCCTTCACTGCAAGAAAGTTCAACCCTGCTTCGGAAGCAACCGCACGAGCTAACAACGTTTTGCTGCATCCTGGAGGACCGAACATCAAAACTCCAGTAGGGGGACGAGTGCCAATGCGCTTGAAAGCCTCCTGGTGTTTCTGAGGCCATTCAACAGCTTCTATGAGCTGCATCTTCACCTCCCTCTGTCCTCCAACATCATTCCAGCTTACCTTTGGAACCTCAAGTATAACCTGATATTTAAAGGAACCAAGTCAGTACAGGGCAGACTGCAATTCCAGATGTCTACAAATGGTCCTTAAGCAAATCAGTTGAAATAACAGGCAGCATGAACTTCAAGTGGAAAAGCAGGAAAAGATGATCAATTGCAAATTATATACAGAATAAACTTAATTACAGGATGTAAGCATCCATGACTAAACTTGCATCATACCCCTACCGCACTAAATTAACCAAAGACAGGTTAAAAGTTGACCCTTTACAAAAACCAACTCATGAATGCAATTTGACTGGGTTCAATCCCAGAACTGCTAGCTCGCTGGCCAAAAATCATTAGAAAATAGCCTGTTTTCTGAAACTTGTAATCATACAAATATCTGAATATGAAAAGCACCATCAACATAGAAAGCATCACCAAATTTAATAACTATGTTTAACAACAAAAAAAACTCCAAACACGTAAAACATACCTCTCTCATGGCACTTGGCCTTATTTTCATTCTAGCCTTTTCAAAATCCTTATAAGTGATCCTAAGAGTGTCTGTTTGTTCCACGCAAGTAAAGTTTCTTGGAATATCTGATGAGATACATGCTTCTGAAATAGATGAAGATGCACCCTCGAAATCACTGTCAGAAGAGAGGTCTTTATTATCTCGCAAGCAATGGGTACCATTCCTGCCAAGGCGTCCATCAAATGCTGGAATGGAAGGTTTACTATGAGTATTGCCAAAGCATGTCTTTGACTCAACATGTTCACGAAGACAATTCAAAGCTGCTTCGTTGCACAGAGCAGCTAGATCAGCGCCCACAAAACCATGTGTAGCTGTTGCAAGGTCTTGAACATCCTTTTCCAGAAGAGCATGTTCCATTTCACTCATCAGTGTATGTAGTATTTCATACCGTTGTCTGGCAGACGGTACGCCTAAACATATTTTTCCATGAAATGAGAAAGGGACATATATCACATCAAAAACATGATAGCTAACGCAAAAAATACTGACTATGCTCAGCCGACTCACAGCAAGAATATGAAGAGTAACAGCAGTAATGACTGGTGGATGAAGTGACAGAATCTTAGCATCGAAATGTCTTGCCCTCATTCAATATTACATGTAGGGACTCCTTAATTGCGTTCAATTACCATCACAATGTTGAAAATCAAAATAGAAACCAACAAATAAGTTGAACAAGGGGAGGGAAGGCATTCCATTAAAAAGAATATCTCACTATCAGTACGAAAAGAAGCAAAACGACGATACAGGAAAAGTCGGAACCTGTTCAGAGACGAGATACTACAATAGGAGAAGAAGAATTGACATGTAATGTACCACAATAGGAAAAAAAATACATCCATCTTAACATATCATGAGCATTCACAAGAGTTTCCTTGTCTCTGTCTCTCGTTCTTTTTCTTTTATTGTTTCTCTAGTGGGGATGGGGGGTGGGGCGGAAGTGAACCTCCTTTCTTAGGAACTTGAGAAAGAAGATTAAATAATTCTATGAGCGTCCAACAATTTCCAGTAGATACCGAAGAGCAAAAAATATAAGAGGCAAGAAGCCTAGACTACACTAGAAGAAGACACAATCAGCGAAATCTTTCTTCTCTCCGAGTCTAATAGACTTAGCTTCTTTTTTAGGCCCAGTACAATTTTATTGACCCCATTTCCTTCAGTAGCAAAGTTTCCACTTCTGGAAACTCAAATCAACATGGAATTACACTGGATCACTTTCTCCGTGATATGAGATCTCACTTGCTTTTAACTGTTTAAACTATTATTTTCAACATCTCTACCTAGCTACATGCACAATTTAGACTTTATGCTTAATCTCAAATAGGATCATTTAATGGAGGTACCTGCAAACATACATCAAGCTCAACTCCTGGAATCATCCCCACCCAAAGACTTGGTAATATTTGTCAAGGAGAAGAAAGACGGGAAGAACCTACAAATAGTCATGTAAAACCTATATGGCGACTTTGGTATAAGCACTTCTAGAATCTAGACTTAAGGTTTTCATAATTTGATGTCTAGTCCATTTCTGCAAATGATTAGGTCCCAAAACAATAATTTATAAGGAGATTTTGCAGTGACCTATTTCAATTTCCCTGTCAAGTCTTCCAGGTCGTCTAAGAGCTGGTTCAACACTGTCAGGTCGATTGGTTGCAGCAATAACAAGTACTCCATCAGCTCTTCTTATTCCATCCATCAAGTTTAACAATGTAGCTACCATTCTTTGGGAAAGCTCTTCACCTGCATCTTTACGAGCAGGTGCAATGGCATCCAACTCATCAATGAAGACCTGTAAATGAAAATGGCTCTGGGTTATGGAAAAGTTAATCAATTGACACTTGATATCAGAAAGCTTATATATTGCAGAAACCATGACCAAGATTTGTATTACAGCAAAGATACAGAAGTCAAATTGACTTTTATACGGCCAAAGAAAAAAATAAGGTTAGTTAACTAAATTCAGTGTCAATCCCATAGTTTAGAGTTTAGACATACTAGACTAAGCCAATCTCAGACATCGTTATCCATTTTTCCATCTGCACAGTTTACTATCTGAGGCAATAGAGCAACTCCTATCTTCTGTACTAGAGTCCAATACCCGAAGTAATCAGACATCATAGAGCAAGTGTCCAAGAATAACTTAATGTTGTCCAATGTGGACACCTAGCACGAATCTGACACAGCAACATTCAATAATCTCTGTGTTACCTTCTCAAAGACAATCAACAATCTCAACATATTGTGTATCTTGAAGGATAATGAGAAGTCCATGCAACATAACTTGACAATGACGGGACAGTGCTTCCATCTTTTAATTCCGTTTAAAATCTTTTCTTATAACACTGCTTCCATCTATTACCAATTTGCTTTTACCTATTCAAAAAGAATATTGCTTTAGGAAATCCACGAGTTGTTTCTATCAGAAAAAAAGTTCATTCAGTTGAAGGGAGCAAACCATAATACTAGCTTGCAGAGCTCAAATGTTAGCTTAGAGATTCCGCTGTAGCACTGACGATTCCATATATAGCCTATCATAATTTATGAATGAGATATAATCAAGAGTTACAGCTACATGAACTACCATGGTGCAATGCATTTCTAACAGGAAGATCTAAACTAGATATAAGATTCATGGCTCAGAACTAAAACGTAGTACCTTCAAAACCGATGCGAAGTAATAAAAGGAACCACCAAAACTTTTTGATAAGGTAAAGATTAAAGGAACCACCAAAACTTTTAAATGGACTTCTCATAGTTTTTTTTGATAAGGTAAATTGTATTAATCAAAAGGGAGAGAACTCCCGTATACAGGAAGTATACCAAAAAGTAGAGAATTTACATCAGAACATGATTCTCTACAAAAGACGCCCAATCTTCTATACAAGTAGGGGCTATATGAGTCCAAAAAGCGATCAAAGATATACTATTTTCTCATCTATAATTCATACATTTCAAAAAGATTGTTTTTTTTAAGAATTACATTTCAAAAAGATTCTTTCCTTGAGATCACAAGAATCGATATCTCGTTGTGACTTCCTACTACTGAAGTTCTATTTTCCATTTTGTTGGCATTACACATTAAGACACTTTAAGCAGTGAGACTTCAATTTCAGCTATTGTGACAATTGAGCTCAAGCAAATTTACTATTTAAACAGAAGATATCTGGACTGTAAGAAGTGAGAAAGCAAACCACGGCAGGAGCTGCTTGACTCGCTGAATCAAAGACCTCGTTCAGTGCCCGTTCACTTTCGCCATAATATTGACTAATTACTTCAGGCCCATTGACAGAGAATAGGTTTACACCAGCTTCATGAGCACATAATCGCGCCAAAGCAGTCTTTCCAGTTCCAGGTGGGCCATGAAGAAGTACTCCCTTTGTAGGCCGTAAACCCATGCTGAAATATTGACAACTGAACATCAGCATATGATAGAAAAGCAATACGACAAGGACATTTTCTAAATAGAATGATTTTGTTATATTGGTGTAGTAAGGAAGCTCATTAGCAGTGGTCCTGCATCAGAGATATGCATTCGCTTTCAGAAACTCCAACGATTTTCCTAGAGAACATATTACTCTTCCCCCAAAACAGAAAGGAAAAGCGGAAAGCTGCTTATTCAATTTCTGGCAGGAAATTTGAAAATATATTCATGTTATTATCAATGTGCTGCAACAACGGTAAATCTCACAGTAACTGTATATCAAGCTGAAAAAAAGGACTAGTTGAAACAAAAAAAATTCTACCAAATAAGGCAGTGAACATTTGACATACTGCACAAAGAAAAATTTAAAACCCATTATCGTAAAAAGGAGAATATTTCTGCAAAGAAATTTTCGAAACCATTTTTTAAGGGAAAAATTGCATATATATATATATAGGTTCTGAGTCCAAATGCCATTAAAAAAGTTATATCCTTCTAAAAAAACTGACATTTACATTAGAAAGAGAGCATACCTAGCCATAGTACCTTTCACAGCTGATGATATTATTATGTCCATTAGAACTGCAAATTCTTCAGAAAGACCACCCAATTTTGGGTAGTCAACTCCATCCTTACTGTTGATATTTCTATGTTCAAGCTCTGATGGTGATAATCTTCTAATGGGAGTTCCCATATCAGTATTCTGGGGTAAATGTAGAACTACTTTTGTTTTGTGATCTACAGAGAAAGCAACATTCGCATACTCCCCCAAACTTTGTTGAGGAGAAGCACCTGTAACTTGGAAAAAACACAGCCTTGAAAGCAGTGGGGCAATCACAAGATTTCCAGAGAGTAAAATACGAGAATACAACCACGAAGCTGTACAGGTTTGTACAAGTTTCTTTGAATGGTCATCTACCAAAACTTCTCTTATATTGAATATGTTGCTAGACGTGCCACCTACATCAGAAAAAATTGACACTGATTCTTGATCCTTGGGCGTATTGAACTCCCTGGTGCCAGGAGAATTAAGTCTAGAATGAGAGTGTAATGGAGTCCTTGGAGATGAAACCCTCATAGACTCAGCTCGATCATTTATTGTTTCAGTGGTTGAATATTGAGGGGATATGGAGCTGTTTATCGCAGATTTTCCATTACGAGATACCAGCAACAAAGATAGTTCCTCGCATTTACTAACGGAAAGGGAACTAACTTTATCATTGGACAGTCGATTGCTTCCATTTGCAATACTTCTTATGGTATGATCCCCGATAGGATGAACAAAAATGATCCTACCTGAGGCAGGAGAACCCATACTCCATGAGAGGCTTGAAGATAATCGTGCTCCATCTTTTAAAACCTGCAAAGAGATCAATGTCAAGTCAGTGAAAATTCTATCATTTGGTGTTACAATCCACCTCCCTTCAAAATACTTTCGAAAGAATAAGTATTTAAAATAATACTCAGATTCAACAAATATTATAAGCTAACATCAGGTTCAGGAAAATATTATAACTATTTCATGAAGCCTAATAATCGCTCTGGAACATTGCTGTGTTTTCCTTTCAAGTTCAGGATAAAATAAACATTTAAACAATCTCCAGGTTTATATGCTTATTTTCCAAACTAAGTAACAGGGACTGGATAGAAAGAAATTGGAAGAATGAAACAAATATTTGCATCCAAACCTTACAAGAAGGGAAAACAGTCGCAAGAGCAAAGAAGTTTCCTGCTTCATGGGCCACGTTTTCTGTATCCTCAAGCCCAAAATGCCGTGTACACTCATCTACTAATGAGCTAAGCAGGAAGTTACTTTCATATTTCCTCGAAGAAGCAAGGGATACCTGTTAACATTGGAAAGTAAAATAAGATCAAACTCTATGAAACCAGCAAGTGTTTAACTCCATAGTATTGCTGAAAATTGATTACACACACTTACAATTAACTTATGCAGCACATCCATAAATCTACTAACAAAAACATGTGCATAGCACCCGAAAAGCACATCCCTTGACAACGCCCCTTTCCCAAATCACAAACCAGCTCAAATATCTATTCTTTTATAAGAAATATTTCCTTAAAATTTATGTTGTTATACAATTGTTAAAATTTTCCCCTTATTCACCATTTATCTGGATCAACGATCCATATCAGAAGCTACTTCATCGGCAAAGTTGTGGTTTGGATTTTCAGTTTGTAATCTGGTGTCACATGGCCAACATCTTCTGTAGGATAATTCTTTTGACAGATGTGAAAGAGAAAATAAATGCAGCTCTTTTTTAATTGTTCTCATGGACATTCTTTCGGGTGAAAGAGGCTCATATTAAGTTCCAAGTCGAGCTCAAGTCATAAACCAAGAAAAATATAGAACTCAAATTAGTTACAAATGAATTAAGTCTATTAACCAAATTCAGGCACAATAAGAATTATTTATATCACAAACACACACACACACACAACACACACCGAGAGGGAAATTCATATGCATATTTTAGAGGGGGGAAAATAGCATTATTTTTGAATTAGAACAATAGAGATGAAAGAAAAAACAAATTTTACCGATACAATGGAGCCAGGGGAAATAGAAGAAGAAAGCATGGAAGATTCGGAAAGCCAAATTTTACAGCCTTTAGTATCCACAGTTTCAACAGCATCTTCTGAAATTCGACCAATAAAAGCTGTTTTCGAAATCAAAGACGGGAACTTTCTAGAAGCTTCTTCAAGACGGAACCTTCTAATCTCTTCTTCACTGAATTCTTCACCGTCCGATGAAACTGAGTGAGTAGTTATAGAACTAACTTCTGACTGTGAAAGCCTTGATGCTGACTTCTGATTCTTCTTCTTTGAAGGCATTTTCAAAATTGAATAAATTAAATAGAAACGAAAATTGGTTTTTTGATGAAAAAGTTTGTGAATTGAATTGAATTTCTTTGTGTATCTGCTGCTGCTGCTGCTCTGGACAGTGCAATGGTGTTTGAACTTTAAACCCTTAACAGAGGTTTAGCACTTTGGAGAAAGAAGTGTAAAATACTATTCAGGTCCCCAACTTTATTTGGATTTGCGTTTTTGTCCACCAAAACTTCTTATTTTTCAAATGGATCGTGCCTTAGCCGTCCCTTTCTAGTTTTTTTTTTTTTTTGGTCAAAGGGATAATATATTTAACTAGTTAAACAGGGGGGGTTACACTGCATTGGGAGTTACTGGGGTACCTTATGGCCCCCATAGATGCAAAGTTTTGCATATTTGTACTTATATTACAACCCACAAAAGATCTAGGTAGTTCAGTTCCTAGGGTGTCTGCCCAAAATACATCATTGGCAAACACCGGAACTGCTAGAGATAGTGATTTGTTCAAAAAAACTTCCTTAGTTGCTTCCTTCGCCAGCGCATCAGCTACCCTATTTTGCTCCCTGTATGTGTGCCTCACTACCACGCTGCCCATCCTTTGAATCAGCAATCTGCATTCACAAATAAGGGGGTCAAATATTAGATTTCCATTAATCAACATATTGATTATTTCTGCTGAATCAGTGTCTACTTGTAGCGGAACTAAGTTGTTTAGTTCAGCTAGTTGTAGACCTCTGATAAGGGCTCTAATTTCAGCCCCTGTGTTAGTTGTTTGGGGTAAGTTTTCCATGAAGCCCAAAATCCAACTTCCGTTATGATTTCTGAAGATTCCCCCAGCTCCACCCATTCCTAGGTTGTCCTTTGCTGCACCATCAGTGTTCAATTTGTAGGAGCCTCTTGGGGGAGGAGTCCATTTAAGCATTATTTGGTGAGTACAAAGTTGAAAATTGTTATTAGTAAGCACATGATACTCAGTAGCCTTAGCTATTGTGTTATTAGCATTGATGGGTTTTTTTTTGTTATTGAATACACTGTTGTTCCTTGTCAGCCAGATGTGCCAGAGGCAGTAAGGAGTGAGACTCTCCCAGTTGAGGTAGTCACTGTACTTCACACCTTTAAGGGTTGGCAAGACTGATTGCCAAGGTTGACTACTAGTGAGAAGATTGGAGGATGATGGAGCTGAAGATTTTGATTGGATGGCAGTCCAAAAATGGACAGCATTGGGGCATAGGAAGAAGATGTGGTCAATATCTTCTTGTTCAAAACCACAGTAGTGGCATTGAGGGGGCAGTTTATTCCGATAGAGTGTAGAAAGCTCCTGGTGGGTAGTCTTTTGTGCATTAGGAGCCAAGTAAAGTACTTTATTTTGTTTGGGGTTTGGAGTTTCCAGATCCACTTGAAGTGGTCCTCTTCTCCAGGAGAATAAGCTTGTGTACTTTTGCTTATGAAGGAGTATGCAGAGCTGTTGGAGAATTGCCCGTTGGATATGAGGCCCCAAATTAAATTGTCCTCCTTAGTGGCTACCTTGGGAATAAGAACAGACTTAAGGATGTTTAGGATATGGGGAGGGAGGTCCAGTTGCCCAAATTGTGGATTGTATCCACCTTGATTTGAAGGTCATTCTGGGTTAGGGGTCCTTCTATCATTTGTCTCAGTGCAGGCTGATTAGGAATCCAGGTGTCATTAAAAAAATTGACCCTATTTCCCCTATTAACTACCCATCTACTGGCTTTGCTACATGTTTCCCAACCTTTTAGTACACTTTTCCAAGTAGGTGATTTATTGTTCCCATGGTGTCTGACAGCCTGAGTAGGTCTGGACATGTTGCAGTTTTTGTATATAAGGACTCTAGCCCAAAGGCTATTAGTATTCTTGTACGTTCTCCATGCTAGGTTAGCTTAAGCAGCTTTGTTTTTAAAGCTAGCTTTTTGCATCCCTAGTCCTCCCTCAAGTTTGGTTCTAGTAACTACATCCCACTTAATCAAATGAAGCTTTTTCTTTTTAGGGGTGGTACCCCAGAGGAAGTTCCTCTGAATTCTATCAATTTGATTGGTTATTTTGGTTGGCAGTGCAATGTATTGCATTACATGACTTGGGATGGAGCTCAGAGTGGTTTTTGTCAGGACTGTTCTCCCATCCATGTTGAGGAGCTTTGTTTTCCAGCCAGCCAACTTGTTTTGCATATTATCAATGATGAACTGGAAGTCTGAGGCTGATTGTTTCTTGTGGAAAATTGGAAAACTAAGATACTTTCCAAAGGAGGTGGTGTGTTTGATGGATAGGAGGTTGGTGAGTTGATGAGAGGTATCTTGGGTAATATTGGAGGAGAACAGGACTCTGGATTTGGTTAGGTTTATTTTTTTATCCTGACTGATTGTTGAAGTCATGTAATATGGAGAGAATTGTATTACAGTTCCTGATGTTACCTTTGGCAAAGAGGGTGAGGTCATCTGCAAAGAAGAGGTGAGAGATTTTTGGTCCAGACCTACTTATGCTGATGGGGTGCCATTGGTTTTGTATGACTGCCTTGTCAATGGATCTGGAGAGCCTTTCCATACACAGAATGAATAGATATGGTGACATGGGATTCCCTTGTCTGATGCCTCTTGAAGGGTTGAAGGGATCAGTTTTCCCTCCATTGACAAGGATTGAGATGGAGGAGGTGCTTATGCATGACATGATGAGTTTGGACAGACCTTTGGGGAAATTGAAGGCATCTAGGTTATCTCTAATAAAAGACCATTCCAGCCTATCAAAGGCTTTCTCTAGGTCTATTTTTAGGATCATATTGGCACTTCTTCCCTTCATTTTCCTGAAATGGTTGATGTATTCTTGGACAATGATAGCATTGTCACAGGCTCTTCTGTTGGTTAAGAAGCTTGCTTGGCTTGGCCCTATGATGTGGTGCAGGATAGGTTTTATCCTATTCACTATGATTTTTGTGACAGTTTTGTAGATGGTATTGCAGAGGCCAATGGGTCTGAAGTTTTTTATCATTGAAGCTTGTGGGCTTTTAGGAATTAGGCACAGGAGGGTTTGGTTCATGGTGTTATCCATGGAGCATGTGCTGAAGCATTTTTGGCAGAATTCTGAGACAGAGTCCCAACAATGTCCCAATATTTTTGGTAGAAGAAAGGGTGGAGACCATCAGGTCCTGGTGCTTTGAAGGGTTTGCTGGAGAAGATATCCCTTTTTATTTCACTCATGTGGAGGGGCCTGTCCATGAAAACCTTGTGGTTTTGGTGCAGAGTAGGTTCCATGATGGAGTGGTGAGTGGTTGTCCAAGGGACTTCAGAGTGGGAGGTTGAGTAGAGCTCAGTAAAGAAGGTGACAATGGTGGACTGGATCTCTTTTGATCATTGATCCAGTTGCCATTCTCATCCTTGAGGGATAGGATTTTGTTTCTCCTCCTTCTATTGAGTGTAGAAGTGTTGAAGAACCTAGTACTGGCATCACCATCATTTAGCCAGTTGATCCTAGACTTGAGCTTCTAGAAGTCTTCCTCATTCCTGAGGATGAGGTTTAGCTCCCCATTAAGGTCTGTTTCAAGCTTTTGGAGGAAGCTACTGAATTGGTAGCTGGGGGACTTTTGTATGCCATAGATTCTGGCCAGGAGTCTGTTCTTTTGGTGGAAAATGTTTCCAAAGACTTCCTGGTTCCATTTTGTTGCCAGATCTTTGAATTTAGCAGTGGATTGGATTAGGGGGATTTGGCCAGATAATGCTTGATTGATGATGGTGGGGAAGGAAGGGTGGCTAGCCCACATTGTTTCAAATCTGAAGGGCCTAGAGGGCTTGTTACTTGGGGGCCCTTCCATTTGAATCTTTAAAGGACAGTGGTCTGAGTGGGTCCTAGGTAGGTGTTGTACACTTGCCTCAGGGTACTGTTCAATCCAACCCTCGTTGGCAAAACACCTATCAATTCTTCTAGGATTAGGGAAGTCCTATTGGAGTACCTTTTGTTGGTCCAAGTGAATTTGCTTCCCTTATATCCTAGGTCAATTAGATGGCACTTATTTATGCAGTTCCAAAATAGGTTACTGCGTTTCATGTTTATAGGGTTGCCCCCAAACTTGTCTCTGGCCTTTAAGACTTCATTGAAGTCTCCACCTATGAACCAGTTATTTCCTATTGTATTGGAGATGGTGATAAGCTGCTCCCATAGGAGCTTTCTTTCTGCTAAGATGTTGCTAGCATAAATAGCTGAAAAAAGCCAAGGAGGGTGATCGGGTCTTACTTTCACCATTGCATGTATACCTTGGGGAGTAGTGGCCACCTCTTCAACCGCTACAAGATCTTCCTTCCATATGAACACAATTCCCCCAGAAAGACCGACCGCTGGAGATTGGATGATCATATCAAAGTCTAGTGTCCGGGCCAAGGTCTGATGGTCAGCCATCTTAGTTTAAAGAAGGACTAACAATGTCGGCTTATGCATCCTCACCATCTCTAGGCAGTGCCTTTTGAATTCGGCACTGTTTCCACCCCTAACATTCCATATGATGTAGTTCATCATTGGGAATGTGGGCGATTGGTGAGCTCTCTCTTGAGGGCTCGTTGGGTTTGGCAGACCTGGCACTTGTGGGGGAGGGGATTTCCTCTTCAGGTTCAAAATGGGTGTGAGATTTAGTAGTGGTTTCAGTGCTCCATGTGTTTGGGCTGAGACTAGGCTCATTCCACACTTGGACATGGACTTGGGGCACAGGACTACTACTATTTCGCTCACTTCCATGCTGAATTCGATTGATCTTACCGAGTCTAGCAGGATCGACTCCGTTCTTGGTGTTGGGTAGGTCTGCTCCAGCTCCTCTGTGGCATCCTTCTTCTTCAGTAGCTCCAGTGCTTTGGAGACTCCTTGCTAAATGTTCTGAAGTGGTGGTGGTTTGTTCGTTCTCTTTGGCGTGGATGATGAGGGCGTTGTTGACAAGTCGATCGGGATGAATACTGGTTCAGCCGCTGGGTCTTCTTTCATCAGATTTGGGAAGAAGGGGAGAGCTTGGAAACTTTGGAGAATGTGGTTGTTGAGGGTTTGTGGGTCGGTAGTCGGTGATGAACTATCGGTGTTGGCCATCGATTGCCATAGGAGAGGGCCAAATGCCACTAAGGCCTTGTTCAGGGCTT